GTCTTTCCTGGTTTACTTAAAACAGACTTTATTACACTGTGATTTGCACTGAAAGCTGTCAAATGTGCGAGTGTTGCTAAACGACGTCGTTGATAATATTTTAGACGGACACATATATTGAGAGAAATTAGGAAATATCTTGTCAGACTCTGATAATCCTCTCTATACACCTCATCAGTTTGGAGAACTAGAAGAAACTATAGAAGACTGTGTATTCGGACGATTAAGTATAATATTTCTACGGTACCTTATTTAGCACACATTTTATCTAATCAGAAATATGTGAGGCAGGAAATTACCCACATACTGCATAACTCTACGTAAACGGCCACATTTTCATTGCTACATGATTGTTGATACTTTCACTTGATATAATATGATATTCATTTATGAAACCGTCATGGTGAGTACAGGCTTTCAAGATTCATTTTGTTTGTGCCAGATGTGGTTGGGTTGTCTGTACACACTAACAAAAACCAAGCACTTATTTCAACCCATTCAGAGTTTGTTGATGTAGCAGTTATGTTTGACACAATGTAAATTTTCTTAGCAGAATCAATAGCCTAAGCAGTGTGGGATGTTGAGAAGAGATTTAAAAGTGGTTATTCGAAATTCCAGCCTGTGAATGAAAATTAGGCTCCTCATAATTTTATACGATTTCTTTGATTCAAGTGGAATAGCTGTACAAGAATTGTCGGTGCTTTTAGTGGGACGTAAAACGTTTTATATGATTATCCTTACCAGCTGGTAAATTTTTCTCAGAGGAGCATCTGGTGAATAGATAAATACTAGATCTAGGTTTAGTAGCCATGTGTAGTCCTATCTATAAGTGACTAAGTGGAGGGTTTGTCTTGAGATAAGAGGTGGATTGTGAGTTGGTGTTCATTAAACTCACAGTATTTATTTAGTATTCATCTTCAGTGGTACTTTTTTTTACACGACTTTGGGTTGGTGTCATGTCGTGGTTAGTACACACTCTTGATAGTTACCAGCTACTGGCAAAGCAACTTGCACTGACGATGCCACTGAATCAGAGCAGTAATAGATAGGATGTGTTAAGTGGTGCTTTGTGTAATCTTTTGCAAGTCCATCAGGGTCTGATAAGCGATGTAACTGGAAAATTCTGTTTTCGGTGTTATAGTGTTGGCTTTGCAAGGTATATCAAGCAGTATGGCCCTACACATGCACTAAACACTCTTTAACACTCCCGTGGTAATGTGGTCAGTGTGGTAATTACTAGGAAAGGTTTGCACGAAGCCCTTTCCAACACACAGATTTAGGTTCCGTGAATGAATTCCAATCTCCTCCATTATATAGAAGTTGGATTGATTATTATTATTGTTCCCTTGGGTTCCTGTGGAACATAAGGCTTCAACTGCACGTCTCCACTTGCTTCTGTCTTCTGCTGTGCTTTTCACCTGCATCCATTTTAGTCCATACTGTTTCAACTCCTCTTCACACGATCTCCTCCATGTCACCCTTTGACGTCCCACTCGCCGCTTCCCTTTCGGTTTCCACTCGAGGGCCTGACGCGCGATGTCACCCAGCGGCCTCGTCAGCTCGTGTACAATCCACCTCCACTTTCTCCTGCATATTTGTTGAGCGACTGGCTCCTGTTTTGTTTGTTCCTATAGTTTCTTGTTGTTTCTTGTTCTTTCCGGCCATCTGATCTTGAGTATAGAGCAAAGACAGTTATTGATAAAGGTCTGCGACAGGCTGTTGGAAATATTCTTTGTGACCCTCCAAGTTTCTGATCCGTATAGAACAACTGACTGACTTGACGTTTGTATTGAAAATCCGAATTTTGTTGTTGATTCAGGCTGAGTGACAAAGATTTCCAGATTGGTTTCAGGTTGATGGATGTGTTTCTCGCCTTCCCAATTCTCGATTTGACATCATCGTTGGTTCCTCCTGTAGTTGTGACAATGCTCCCTAGAGAATTGAATGAAGTAACCACTTTCAAATCCCTCCCGTTGATGGTGATTGGCGGTGGATGTTGCTGCTGCTGTTGTTGTTGTTGTTGGTTATTTTCATAACCTCGGTCTTGTCTATGTTCACCTGGAGTCCTGTCTTTTCTGCTCCTTCGACCAGTTTGTCGGTTTTCGCTTGTAAGTCTTCGATTTTGTGTGACATCAAACATAAATCATCCGCGAAATGCAGGTCTTCTAGGTTCCTCACGTCGGTCCAGGATATCCCTGTCTTCTCGTTTCCCACTGTCTGACGCATAATCCAGTCCACCACAATTAGGAATATCATTGGAGATTAATAAGCACTCTTGTCTGACTCCTGTGTTTACTCCAAACGCCTCACTGAGTTTTCCGTTGTGGATCACTTGACATGTGCCGTTGTCGTACAGCTGTTGAACAAGGTTGATGAATATTTGGGGTACGCCGTAGTACTCGAGTAGTTTCCAAATTACTTCGCGGTCAACGCTGTCGAAGGCCTTCTCAAAGTCTATAAAGTTGAGGTAGAGGTTTGATTGCCATTCCATGCTTTGTTCGATGATGATGCGTAGAGTTGCAATTTGGTCAGAACATGATTTGCCTTTCCTGAATCCAGCTTGTTCTGGTCGGAGTTCTGTATCCAGTGCGTCCTTCATTCTCTCCAGGATGATGCGATTCAGGATTTACCTTGGCGTCGACAGGAGCATGATTCCTCGCCAGTTCTTGAGAGTCCTAGGTCGCCCTTCTTTGGTAGTTTCACAAAGTAACCTTTCCTCCAGTCAGTAGGCACCTTTCCCTCTTTTCAGATCTTTTGCAATAATGGAGTCAATATATCTGCTGTCGTTTCTGGGTCCGCTTTCAGTGCTTCCGGGGGTATTCCATCTGGTCCAGCTGCTCTTCCAGCTTTCAGAAGCTTGATTGCATTCAAGACTTCAGCTTTCGTTGGAGGATTGGTGTCAACTTGCAGTTGTGTACGTGCTGTTGTTGGTATTTCTGGACGGGTTGCAGGTGGTGGTCGGTTCAAGAGTCCTTTGAAGTAGTCCGCCCATTGTTTAATCTGTTTTCTTCCTTGGTAATTGGGTTCCCTTGGCTGTCATTTATAGGTTTCACTTGTGTTGATCTCTTCCCGGATAGAGACTTGGTTATCTGATATAATGTCCTCAGGTCCCTTTTACCTGCTGCCTTCTCAGCTTCAATGGTCAGATTGTCGTAGAATTGTCTTTTGTCCTTCCTGGCACTCTCTTTCACTTCTTTGTCCAGTGCTGTGTAAGTTGAGCTCAGCGTCTCTTTCTCTTGTCCGTCTTTGCATTGAATCATTTTCTCTTTCACCATTCTCCGCTCCTCTATTAGCTTCCAAGTGTCCGTTGAAAGCCATTCCTTGTCTTGTCTCTTCCTTCTTCCTGAAACCGTTGAACACTTTTCGTTGAAAATCACCTTCAGAGAGTTCCAATGGTTTTCCACGGATGATTCTTCCGTGATGTAACGTAGTGTTTCCTGCTTTGCTCTGACAGCTCCAGTGGAAATGTCCTTCGTGGTTGTGTCCTTCAGTTATTGAGTGTTGAACTTGCATTGTGGTCTATCCCCAACTATCCTCGAGGCTTTTAACTTCATCTTGAAAGTCCCTTGTACTAGATAGTGGTCTGAGCCCACATCTGCTCCTCTCCTCGATCTTGTGTCCAGTAGGCTCCATCTTCACTTCCTTGAGATTGAAATGAAGTCTAACTGGTTTTGATGTGTCCATCTGGTGAAATCCATTTCGCCTTGTGTAAACCCTTGTGTTTGAACACACTGTCACCAATCACCAAATAATTGAAGGCGCAGAAGTCTGAGAAGTGTTCACCATTTTCGTTCATTTCACCGAGGGCCTCGCGACCCATGGTGAGATCTCTTCCTGTATTGTCTCTCCCCAGCTTCCCATCCATATCACCCATCAGGATTTTGACATCTGTCTTTGGTACGTTGTCCATTACTGTTTGTAGTTGACTGTAGAAAACCTCCTTCTTCTCTTGTTCTGAGACGTTTGTAGGCGCATAGCATTGAATGATTGTAACCTTCCTTCCTTTTGAGTTGAACCTGGCTGTCATTATCCTGGAGGAGATTGATTCCCACTGCATGAGAGCTTTAGCCGCTGTTGGGGACATCATGATGGCCACTCCCTCGATGTGCTCGTGATCGTCCTCTGGGTGACCGGAGTAGATTATTGTCTCTCCAGTTGGTAGTTGGCTCCTTCCACATCCGCTCCATCTGCTCTCGCAGATTCCCAATACTTCTATTTTATATCTCCTCATTTCCGCGGCTACCTGGGCAGCCTTTCTAGTTTCGTACATTGTACGAATATTCCACCTCCCGATCCTTATTTTCGCTTTGATCGAAAGAAGGCACATCGGCTGACTGGCTTCCCGAAGGCTTTCACCAGCCTGCGTCATTTCACTTCCCCGATTCCAACGAGAATTAAGGTCATTGTTTGTATTTGTAGAATTTTTAATATATTTGTCCTTTGAAGTTTCTGTAGCGATTTGGTTAAGTTTTGGGGGTGGAGTTGCTAGCACCACGCCCCAACCCTCCCTCTTTATTCGGGCTAGAATACTAGTGAGCTAGTAGTCTAGGCGAGGTTAGTGCGTCGGCCGGGGATCGAACACCTGACCATATGCAGGGTCGGCGAGCGTCCTAACCGCTGTGCCACCGACGCATGAAGAGCATGGAGCATGTTGGATGAAGCGGGACAAACTACGATAAAAGTTCCATTACTCCAACTTGCTGTGCCGGATCTGTGAGATGAGCAGGTATGGAGATACGTTCCTCTCTATTCAGTTAGTTGATGAAAAATATTTGAGAGGAGTAGATTTTTTTGTTCAGCACTTTGTTTCCTTTCTGATTTTGGTGTGAACCTATGAATTATTATGAATCCATCACGCATTGTCTATTGAACCTATCTCGCTCGAATAACGAAGGTGTCGCAACAAGTTTTCAATTAATTGTTGGTGCGAAACTCTTCATCACTTTCATGTTACTTCAAGAATATCAAAAGTAATATAAAACGTAATAGACAGACCGCAAACATTCCTTCTCTCATTCCTTGAGATGATTATCTTTTTGGACAAATTTTTCTGGTGTTATTGGAATGAGTAAAATTATCGACCGTAAATGTTAGTCTGCTTCCCGATATTTCTGAAAGTCAGTTTTGGACCGTATGTCTTTTAGGAGTGTGCGAAACGTATGCGCATACTGACACATGTTATTCTCCGGGAATAAGTTTAGGGCAATTTGTTTTGCTGGGTTATCGAGAGGAAATTTCAGGGCGAACCTATGGGTTTTGGGAAATTCAGTAGGGCTTTTTATGGAAATCTGGAGGTAATTCAAGAGAAGCCTACTTTTGGGGGAGAGTGGAAGTGCTTCACTTCCTCTTAATTTCTTCATTAATTTGCCATAATATTTCCCAAAACTGCCTCCAATTTTTTTATTCCAGTTTATCCTTTTTCACTTGGCGACTCTGATAATACCGGTTACATATTCTGGATTTATGGGATTAACTTTTCACAACAGCTTTTTTTGAATGATCGTGGAATATATATAATTAACAATGTGCTTACAAAAGACCCTGTGATAACAGTGAGGGAATTAGCTTTAGTACTGTTCTGTGTACGGTCTAGCGTCTGTTCACTCCACATTAGATAAGTTTATTTGATATAACAGCGACATGGTATTAAAAACTAAATAACGTTTCAAGCCTAATTTTCGCTCATAATCTCACCAGTATATTCACATGACTTGTTTTTTATGGCCTTACTTCTTGTTTTTATTGCAATTTTCCGTATATCCAGAGTTGTGTTATTTCAGTTGCACTTGTTTGGAGTTTATTTGGTGGTTAACCGCTTCACTTAACTACATTGCTTTTTAATACACTTACTGCATCTCACGCTATTGCGATTACATGCATCTGAATGCATTGCAATGGCCAGACTTTTTACTTTAGTTTCTTAACTTAGTGGGGTCAGTCATTCTGGATATCTAGCTACTTCCGTATCTTTCAGTTATCTAACTGACTCCGATCTACTAGTTTGTTTATGTAATTGACCTCACAGTGACCACTCAATATTTGGTAAGTTATGTGAATTTGCCGGATTGGGTTTACTGGATTTTTAAGATTAAACAGCAGATATTGCAACCCTAATTTTAACCTTATTAAAAATACTGTTTAGGCAATCTGATTCTCCTTCTTTATGTATTAGTACTATCGGTGCTTTCGGTTCCTTTTTAATATTTTTTTTTTAACCATTTATATTACCACTACTGTCTTATGGGTCTTAATACTTTTCTAAATAAAATCTGGTAGATATTCATTGGTAATGTCTTCCTTATTTGTTTGACTTGATTATTTAAATCTTGATTTACTAGTCAGGCTGTTGTCTCGATTACATTAAAATCTGATAAAACACCCCAGTCAATTTTAGGTGAGATGAATCAATGTTTAAGTACTTATTAGAATGTGAATTTTTTTTATGGACAATAGTATCTAACCCACGATCCTGTTTTTGCTTTATTTTACGGTTTAGCATAGCTAACACCGTTTATTTTCTAACCCCAAATTGAGCCAGATTCCATCTACCACTCAATGCAATGGTAGGTAGAACTCTTCACTGAAACACCTACATATTGTGGGCTTAAATTATCTTGAATATTAGAAAGTTGTATATTTTAGGTCAACTTGGTGTATTGGATCACAAGTACGATATAGGAAGCTTTATCCAGACAAAACTACCAACTCGAATTAAATGTCTATCAATGTATCATTCATAAATTTTATTTATATTTATTTAAACGCATAAAGTTGCCTGTGAACTCTAACTTTTCTTTTATCCCCTATTGTCATGCTGGGTTCTCTTGTATCATTTTTAAGTTGGCCCACTAATGTTCCGAACCCTCCACATTTTGTTGCAGTTTTGTTTATAAAGAAAAATGGACCAGATCAACAAAACGCATGATAAAACACTTGTCAGTATCGGTAATCCTTTTATTGGACAAAATCGCTCGAAATGTATACACTGCACACATTACTTTGTATGCACACGTGCGATTTCATAAAATCACTTAAGTCGGTTTTTTAAAAACAAGTTCCCGCTCTACAAGAATTCTGAGTTTATCAACAGTGAAACTATTTAAGATAGCTGACTGCTACTAATTTAATGGACGATGGTTGGGGATGAAATTACTCTGGATCGTAGCAGTATTCGAATCAGTGGCCTCTAAGTTATCACTCTCGTACTCCACCATCTGAGCTCTGAGTCCCAACTGCTAACCAGGTCAGCGTGTATTCTCAATCACGACTTGAAATGCTCAGCTGATGAACAGATAGCTACATATCAGCCATTCACATGGCAGCTGTCTGATATATGTGATGGTTATAGTCAATGGTGAACGGGTTAGCAGCTGGAACTCGTAAAGTGCTGGAACAGGGATTTGGAGAACACCGATTTCGATCTTACTACTACCCAGACTTTTATTTCACCCTCACTCACGCCCTTTTACACCAATATTTTGATCTCGTCTCTAATTTACATGATAAACCAATATAGTACACCTTCAATTTTAAGGTAGTTTACTTTTTTTTAAAATGAATACTAAATTGTTATTCTTTCATGTATCTTATTGTAGGTTCCAGTATGGCTAACTCAAACATGATCGGAATACATTTCTTAAAGCTGTGAAAAGTTTGTTATCAGTTCTATCCCTATCCCTTGAATAACTTTTACAACATATCAATTCTCTATGTATATGTGCAAGCATTTATTAAACTGACTATCAATTCAAATGGCTTCTTTTCAAAAGTCGCTTGAAAATCTCAATGAAGGTACTGCGTGCATTTGTGTCTGTGTCAGCCTTTGGTTGCTGTTGATCGCTGCTAGAATGGACAATATCTTAATGATCCCTTATTGGGCAATATTTCTACCACTTTGGTTATGGAAAACTATTGTTTTTGTTGGTTGGTTAGTTGGTTTAATAGTTTGGTGTAAGCATTGGAGAATTCATGTCGAAGATTTAGACCGTAGTTCTTTTGTTGTTAATGAAGATCCTGCTTTACCTTATATTCAGGCAATGTCTGTATCAGCATTTTTCCATTTTCTTATAATGTGTTCTGAAGTGTTGTTATGTATTCATCTCTCAGTTGCATCATCTAATCTCACCTACTTAACTATTTTGTCACCATTGCTAGTTGTAGGCACTTTGGGAGTGTTTGGATTTCTTTTTGTTATGATCGACTCAAGAGCGACGTTCTCAGCAAACTCACGACGTCGAAGACAACATCAAACAAGGTCTTTAACCAATAACAATAACAGCAATAGTCCAGATCCTTTCGTTGTTATGCCACGTTCACGTCATGTATGCTCTTTTACATTGGAATTGTGCATTGCTGCTAATCTGTTACAACTTCTATTCTTGATTGCTCGACTTGACAGTTGGATTCGTTCTAACTGGATTGTTACTTTTATTCCCTCGTTCATCTTGTTAGCGATGGGGTTTTTATTCTGTTTAGCAGGACTAACGGTTGCACTGATTACATATTTTACAGCTTTTTTTATTCCTGTAGCCCAACGCAGATTATCTGTATGTTATTATGCTTCACATTTGTTAGTAGTTATTTTCCTGTGTACTTCACTGATACTGTTAGGCTTAAGACTTGATGGCTATCTTTCTGCTTCAAAAGGTAGTGCGTTATTAATATGTATTCCTGTATTAGTCAGTATGTTCTTGTATGCTTCATTATCATCTGGTCCTGGGAATCCCTGGTGGTTTGGATTAAATCGTAATGTACTCCTTGCAATATTTGAGTCTTGTCCAACCTTACAACTTTGTGCCAATAATCGTATTAGTAAAACTGGTTTGTGGAGAATATCTCGATATCATGGGGATAATGGTGATGTGAATAATACAACAACAACAACGACAACAGTGAATTCATATCACTCGAATGCACCAGAAGTTCAGTTGTAAGTCTTTGTAAAATCATAATTATATTTCATTTATTTGAAAGTGTACGGTAGCTTTATTGCAATTGAAATTGCACAGAAGTGCAAAGTTTCGAGTTGCCACACCCCTTGCAGCATACAAAGCTAGACAAAAGAGAGTAATAAGCAGAAATATCCGGAGAAACGGATTATAACATGGGGAAAAAGTTAGGGTTTAATGGATATGGGAGATCTGTGCCACTGAGAACGATTTTGCGCCATATCACCAATTGTTTCCAGCCATTGGTTCTTAGCACCCAGAGGACGCCAAACAGACATCCTATCCCTCTCTGTGTGGCTTAAACTAGCTGTCAAAGATTTCATGGATTGACCCCAAGTTTTAGTTTGACCACCACTAGCACTTTTCCAACCTGACCGTATGTCAGCTAACATTTCCCGTCATTGAAGGCCGTGGCTCGGCACACAGACACGCACAACACGAGTCGTAGTCATCTCAGTCGATGTGGCTTCACAACCTCATCGACTGACTAGTAGGTCACGTGTCCTATTCATTTTTCATCTGGTGGAATTACGCGGTGTCTTCGAGCTTGGTTCGTTCAGTATAACCGAGCACCAATTGCCTGGACACACATTTGGTTAGTGAAAGAAATGAAAAGAGTTGAAATAACGATTTCCTTGTAGTTTCACTTGGATATTGTGACTAGTTTCAAATGAATTTTACCATCACCCACTAAAATGTATAGGAAGATAACTCTTTATAAGTGTAAAAAGTTTGTACTATATACTGTTTAAGATAAAATCGTTATAACAGTGTGAACAAAATTTTTTATGTGGTTCATTTTTTTGATGAAATGAAGTGCAAACTGCTTAACCTCAGATGTACTCATAATGGTAATAATGGCAACAATAATACCTGCCTTATTCTCAACAGTATTTTTGAAGCAGTATGGTTTTTTTCAGGGTTTTAACACTGCAACAAACTTGCTTCATCCTTATAAAAATATCTCCAAAAGAAAGAACATGGATTAATTGCTGTTAGTACCAATATCAATGTGGATACTAATAAATAAGTGCGTTGACGGAAGTTGGAATTCAGGGGCCATTGGATAGGGTCCACGTGGCTTAATGGTCTACGAGCCCACCTTGTAACAGGAAGATCCTGGCTTTGAACCCTGGCGATGTGGGTGTGTACTGATGAAGAGTCCCAAACTAGGACGAAACAGCTGTCCAGTACGTCCAGGTGTTTCAATGCTTCTCTAACCGATGTGTCAGCTCATGATGAAATCCTTTAACCAATCAACTCTTTGCAAAACAACACTTGAATAAATAAGTGATTGCAAGTAGAAACATGATTATTTATGTATAGATTAGAAAGTTAGTAAATTGGTTCTGTTCTAATATTTCTCCCGTCACATAAGATGCTTACTGAATAAAGTATGGGGTTAAAGTAGTGCTTTTAGTTGTGCTGTGCAAGCAGTTAAGTGCAATGGAAGTCCTAATTAGTGTAACATAGTCTCTTTTGAGAAGTTTAGGAATGCAGAAAGCGGTAAAATACATAAATATAGGTAGAATAAAAAGATACATTTCAAAACAAGTGTCTGGTTCATACCAGAGAGTTTGAGCTTCTTTATGTAGTAGATCAGATGAAAAATCAACAAGGTATGAGACGACCATTGAGAACTAAAAGAGAAACTAGTACCAAGATAAGTAACAGGACCATCGATTTTACAAGATCCATGGGACCGACTCACTCCAGACTAGTCTTAGTCATCCCTGGGACCAACATAAACAGGTTGATATATACAAGGATCTATAGGAAACTGTTTATATAATGAACATTTTCATGACCAGTCATATGAAACAAAGACTGTAAGATCATCCACATACTTCATGAGACTAACTTTTGAAGAATAGGGAAAGTCTTTAAACCAGCAACAGAAATGGAGAAAGTACATGCACAACAAGTGTGACATAAACTGTTAAGTTAAAAGTATGTTTCAGGTAACAAAGTTCTAAGTGAAAGAATCAAACAGACTCACTGAAAGCTACTTTTTTCTAAAAGTGTAAGCATAAATTTGAAGTTTCCGCCAATTAATTAAAGTATTTTGCTTTCAATCCTAATATACGAAGTTTGAGTTATATAGTAGTGCAAAAATCTGAATTCGATTACTGAAATTTCTCGTTTTTCTCTCTGTGATTCACTTTGGCTATTCAGATGACTCAAACAAATAAATATTGTTTTTGAATAAAGCAAGAAAAGCAGTTTTTGCGGAATAAAATGGTAGCATCATTTATTTGTTTGGCTTCTCATCAGCTGCTTACAGCCTAAAGACACTATTAAGTATATCTACAGAAGCAATTTTAACATACACAAACTTCATTTTTAAACGAAAAAAATTAATACACGCATACAATGTTTATAATAATAATAATCACTTTATGCCGGACAATAATGATCATACACAATGGAAACTTTCGACGTTACGTAATCAGTTACCAGGGTAAGGAAAGACTGATAACCGCTTCTTTCTGAACGCATAAATCGGGTTTCAGGCGTTTGATGGTAGAAGATGGTAGTCTCCAGAAGTCAATTTACCGAAAGCCTACATGGAAAGGACAATACCCACAGTGTAATAGTTTCTGTCCAAATAGCTTTAAACAAGGACTAGTCAAGACTCTATAGATATAAGTATATAACTTGGGCACTGTATATACATGAAGGAGAAAGTTGTGTGAGTAGCTTGATATGATTATGAGCAATAATTGGTGCTCGAAACGTCATCGGTTAATATTACTGTGTAACACTGTGTGACTTATCAAAATAAAATCTTATCCATAATGGAGTCAAGACTCTTTACTTTAGAGCTAGGAGATTATGCTCGACAGAGAAATTGGAGAAAGAATTCATGTTTCTCGAACAGAAGTTGAGTAGCAAATACGGAAGATCTGAAAGCTCAAATGTCAAGCAAATCACACTGGAGAAAGCCCATCTACATTCAACTTGATTTTAAAGGTGAAAATATTACAGCAATTCTCAACAGATTGAGAACACCACTAGGCAAAGCTTATCCTGCAGCTAAGCTAGTCCCAGTCTATCGAACAACTTGCTCTTTGTATAATCAAAAGTGCACAGATATCCTTCTCATGTTAACTCCAACCGTTTACACAAATTTACGTGTATCTGCTGGAGCAGTTTCATTGGAAGAACAGAAAGAAGGGCATACTTTCGATTTTCTGAACATGTACCAAAAAGTCTATGTCTACAGGGAACAAACGCTTACAATAATATCATTGCCAGGCATCTCGTTGACACGGGTCATGAAGTTGGCGTCGCGAGATCGTTCAAAATTACCTATAGGGAAAAGAGTTCAATTCTCCTTAGGTTTGTCGAAGTAATCTCCATCAAGCACCTGAAACCTGATTTATGCATTCAGAAAGAAGCGGTTATCAGTCTTTCCTTACCCTGGTAACTGGATATTTTCACCCTCTCTTTCATCTGATTGCATAATGTCGAAAGTTTCCATTGTGTATGGTCATTATTGTTCGGGGTAAAGTGATTATTATTATTGTATGCGTATACTAATTTTTTTCATTTAAAAACGAACTCTGTGCAAGTATGCATGAAATTGCTTCTGTAGATATACTTAATAGTGTCTTTAGGCTGTAAGCAGCTGATGAGAAGCCAACGAAATAAATGATGGTGCCATTTTATTTTGCAAAAACCATTGTTCTTGCTTCATTCAAATTCATTAAGGGGAATAAATGTATGAAATAATGTGTTTTCTGGATCTATGGGCAAATAATCATTGCCTATGATAGTTGATAATACTAATTAAGGTGTTATGTGAAATTAGTGGTCATTTAAGAAAAAACAAGATCACCACTGCTGTATACAGTCGTACACTGCAATGGATAGGACGCGCAAAACATACCAACGTATTCTGGTAATTACTGAGCTAGACGGTGGTCACCGCCAAGAGAAAAATCTGGGCGAGTAATATTTTTAGTGTGAACGATCCTTCTCTGCTGTAATGAATTATCGTCGTTATCATATCAGTGTTCAGGTGGTCTGTTTTTTCATCATCATTTCAGGCACTTATTACTAACACGACTAGTGTACTTGTGGTATTTATTTTGGGGTTGATGGAGATTTCTATCTTACCAATAATGATATCTTTAATACTAGTTGGGTCTGCTTAAAGAATGACATTTAACTCTTGTTTATATTTGATTTACCCTGTATTATTGATTAAAATTTACTAGTTATGAAATAAACAGATGGGTAGTTTATTTTCTTTAGTGTATTGTATGTGTGTAGTTAGCCTCGAAATAACCTTATCATCCTTAACATCTTTTTTTATTTGCTAGCGTTACTCCTCCACCGCCCATTATTCCTAATTCATCTAATATTTCCGAGGTTTCCAATCCGCACAATATAAAAACTTGTCCAAATTGTACAATTGGTTGTTGTAGTTGGTGTTCAACAAATAACCCGAAAAATATCAACTGGCCAAATACTAGCCTTACAACAGATGCTTCTCATTTTCACAATTCCTATTATTATTCAGAGCGTCTACTTCATCCTGATTAGTTGTTATTAAGTGATGTCGTCGCATACTTGCGAAATATTATCCCACTTTCATTTTGTTGTTGGTGTTATTGTTGTTGTTAGCCGTTAGTTTAGTCTATCTATCTATAACTTGTATTCATATATCCATACATACACACATACATCCATACGTGTATATTAACGAAGCATTTCACCGTGTCACTTGTTTTTGTATATTCCTGTTTATCTGCGTAATTTATTCTTTCATCTTACTGTGTATACTGTATGTAGTGACTTGTGTAGGAGGCTGATTAGTCTCCTGTTGGTTTCATTTATTTATTTATTTAAATATTCTTATTTATTTTTAGCTCATATTATTTTTATTATTTCATTAGTGAAAGATTTAAACTAAATTGTAAAGTAGTTTATTTGGCGCCATATTCAAATATTTCTGTCCCTCTTCTTCTTTTCTGAATTGATCCATGTTTGCTTAAACGTATATTCAAGATATGTACATGTAAGACAGTTCATATTTCATTGTACACTTAAGGTTTGTTGTCACATTAATCTATGCAGCATATAGTGTGTGTGTGCGTTGTATTTAGTTAGTCATATTTATTTATTTGATGTATTTATTTTGTGATACTACTTCATTCATGCAACCAATACTAATTTCAACAATTATAATAATTATTTGTATAAATTACTTTCTTTCTATCTATCTATCTATCTTAATTTATTTAAATTGGTATTCCATCAGTTTTTAATTGACTTTATTGACTTATTTTATTTTTAGTAAAAGAGGATAAGAAATCTAACGGTATTGAACATTGAACACTTTATCATTTGTTTAAATACCAACTTTACATGTTTTTTGTTGTTATTATTTGTGATAGCGGCAATTTTAAAAGTAGTATATTATATCTATGTTGTATTATAAATGTAGAGTGTTTAGTCTTAGTCTCATAATTATTTGTTGTAAACTTGTTAATTTACTTTTTATTTCCTTCTTCTGTGTATGTATGAAGTGCACAGAAGAAAGTAAAGAAAACCAGCATACATAAGATGAAACTAGTAATAATAAATAAATGTGATAAATCTTAATTTATTGTTTTGTTTTAATGGGGTAATAAAAATGCTTCTAGCCTTGGGCGGACTTTTTAAAAAGAGATTAAATTTTAAACTAAGTGTTAAACAATGTGTGAATCACTGAAGTAAAACAGCTTTCTTGTCTTCGAAAAAGATTTTAAGTTTTATTATTTCCTAATCATCGCATGATATTTATTAGTCATGACTATTGAAGCTCCTTGAAACAGTTTACTTATAATTTTCTCCCCTAGGGGGCAACAGTCGAGAATAGACACCAACTATTGTTACTTAAAAATAATACAAGAGTAAACAGTAGACACCGAAGTCAAATGACCTTGAACCGACCAATCAGATCGTTCACCATTCATAATGGATGCTGTTCATGAACTTCGTTGCAAGTTACACCCAGATTGGGTTTTTAACTTCTGTGGAAAATGGGTTGATAGGGTGGTCTAAAACCTGCATATGTGGAGGGATAATGACGCTACAAAAGTATTACCGGGCTATTGACGGCTACGCATTTAGATGCAACCACTGTTATATGAGGAAATCTGTGCGAGTTGGTAAGTCGTACATTATGGTGGTTTTTTAGATACTTTCTACTCCAAATCGAAACTGTCCCTCAGTAAAATACTGCGCATATGCAACAACTGGCTACTAAAGCGACCAGTATCTGCTACAGCTGCAGAGGTGGAGAATACAAAGATTTCAACAGTGCAGTGGTATCAGTAACAAAGCTAAACGGGATCACCTCTATACTTGGGGGAGTTGGCGTCGTCGTGCATACTGACGAAATTGTACTTATTAAGTGAAAAATGAATCGCGGCAGGAGTAGAGCAAACCATGTTTAGGTGCTGGGACTTTACTAGACAAATCTTCGCAAAGGGTTTGTAGAATGCATCCCGAACAGAAGTTCTGATATCTTAATACCAGTTATACGGCGACTAGTCCTCCCAGGAACTACTATTCACACAGACGAATGGAGAGGTTATTCTCATTTATCATCACTAGGCTATATTCACCACAAAGTCAACCATTCTTCTGAATTGGTGGATCCCATGACAGGAACACACATAAATCCCATTGAAGGATTTTAGTCTCACTTCAAAAAACGTATAAGAATGGTAAACGGTTCCCGAAATAATATGGTATGTAGTCATTTAGATGAGTTTTTGTATCGACATTGATTTGATATGTCTATAACCACTCCTATCAGAAATTGGGACCAGTATTTGCAGCATATTAAAAACATTTATCCTGTATAACTCATTTTTATTACGTGTATATATTATAAATACACTTTTTTATTAATTTTATGCCACTCTTTAACTGAAAGAATCTGATTGGTCGTTTCAAGGTCGTCTGCAGTTGGTGGCTATTTTTTATTGCTGCCTTTCACATTTCTTCGTTTTACTGATATGATCATTATTTTGATATATTGTAGATGTATACGTCCACTCATTGTTGGATTCTATCCACACTACTTAAAATCCTGAAATATGGTTGAATAAATAGTTTGGGAAGTTGACTTAGCCATTCATACCTTAACTTATTAATATTTCGTATATAAAATAGGAGTGGTCCGACGGATTTGATTTAATAATGCATCTGATACCGTGAAGGCTGTCCATATCACATTTAGTCTGTTGACGGTCAGTGTCTTTGAGTATGGTGTATGCTTTACGCCGTCTAAGTGAAAAGTACTGTTAGAAGATTGGTGGCAACCAGTAGCTGCACACACCCTTGAGAGCTAGAGCGGCATAAGCCAATCTGAGCCACCTCTGACGCCTTCGCGATGTCAGTCTGACTGTCAGACGTCTAGCTTACAATGCTTCAGTGCACTCAGTCTTGCTCTATGCCTGTGAAATCTGGCCTTTCCGAACTGAGGATGTTCGGTGACTCTACGTATTCAATCATCGCTTGCGTTTGACGGCATCAGTGTGTGAGTAGTTTTGAGGTCAGGCAGTGTGTGTTTAGACACAGTAAAGATAAACACTCATTGGGTGTCGTCATCTGGAAACACCGAATCCGGTGGCTTGAACATGTGTTTCACGAATGTCACCGTAGAGGCTTCCGTGCTGGTCTTAGTTCTCTAGTCCTGGGACTAAATGGAGAAGGCAGAAAGATAGTCAGTCTATGAAGTGGCGTCTTGGGATGAAGGATACCCGTGTTAGGTTAGCACCAGTGGGTAAATCACGACTCCCTGATTGCAGTCCGATATTAATATTACTGTATGATGCATCTTCTTGGTGCCTATATTGCACCAAGTTTGTATTTTGAATATGCAGATTCAGTGAACATAAAAATGTGAAGTTACCATATGATAATAATGTTAGCATGCCTGATTCAATATTACACAGCATTCTATATAGTAATGTAATGCTGTTAAAGTCTTCACTCGTACTTATTAGTTGTTGATTATGTGTCTTTATTTTTACCCAAAAGTATTCGATTTGATGGATTCTAGAGAAGGAATAATTTCAAATAACATTCTGACGGGGCTTTACCTTGTACTGGAGTATCCATTTGTAAAATCTCAGCGAGGTTGAAATCAGTAATTCCAACGTTTCGTTCGACAGTCTGGTCCGAACTTCTTCAGGGAAATTAATCGGAATTAACATAACAGAGGTTTATATATAAAAGGCACATCTCTTGTTTTTGAAAACTTTGTCCAATCATGAGTCATGAAACAGGTATCAACATGTTTAATAAACAAAATAGTATGAGCTGTGATCAAAATTTGACCTCGAACTTACAAATATTGGTCTACTTTTGTTAAACGCTTTAAACAAAGTGTACTTTTTTTTGCATCAGAATTTTAGTGATTACGTTCGACTAAAAGTTCATGGTCCTAGATAACTGAATATGAAAATATTTGTGTATATGCGGTATATATATAAACCTCTGTTATGTTAATTTCGATTAATTTCCCTGAAGAAGTTCGAACCAGATTGCCGAACGAAACGTTGGATACGCTCACTTCAATCTCGCTGAGATTTTACAAATATAACTTTTACAAATGTCTACTTCTCACTCGGCGCCCGAATATTTTAAAACTATTCTGTCAAATCGTGACGACAGTTCATATAGAGTATCTATTGCTTGATATTAGAGTGAACGATGTTACAGATAGGAACTCTGTATCATCTACTGTCAGTCTAAAGTGTATCGGGTATAATCCATAATTTCACTTTCAAGGCGATTCGTTTCAACGTAGTCACTAGAGAAACTGTAAGGTTGACGTTTTTGTAGTTATTGTTGAGAATTAAAATAGCGTTGGTTTGTAGGGATTTGATTGACTTGTTACAGGATTTCATCATGAGCTAACATCAGTTAGAGAACCATTGGAGTTCCCTTTGTAACCGGAAGGTCCTGGGTTCGAACACAGTTGGGGTGGGTGCGCACTGATAAAGAGTACCAAACTAGACTGACGAAACAGCTATCCAGTACTCCCAGCTGATTTTCTAATGGTTCTCTAACTGATATCAGCTCATTATGAAATCCTCCAACCAATCAAACAAAATCCCTACAAGAAACAATACTTGAAAATCTTGTTCTATATATTCGGTGCAACAGGTTTCCCCGCTGTTGGCAATTATTATCATATTAATTTCCCATCCAACTAATCTCTTCAGCCATAGATCTGACTGCAGTAGGTGAATCGTGTTTTGTTAATCCAGTGAAAGTTGGTTCGGCTTTCTCTTAACACATATCATTATATTGTGTTTCAGTACTCTATTAACACTTTTATAAACCTCAGTGGTGCTGATTTCAAATTAAATAGTTTTTATATTTACGTATTTTGTTTAAACTTCTTCGTATGTTACACCTATTTTCGCTCATTTACTGGAGATAAGCTTTTTTTATTGTTATTTATGTATAGAATGAATCTATGAGACTACTCAAACCTGTCGATACTATTTACTAGTGTACTTACCGTATGTGAAGTGAAGTCTGAACAAAGAAAGAACGAACATATTCGTAAGATAATATGAGCTTGTTTTATATCCTGGATTCTTTTCAACTGAGTACATTCGAAGTAGTATCGAAATATAAGTCACGAAAATTCTGAACACGCTTTTCTCACAGTGACGTCAAATTACAAATAGGAATTATAGGTAACATAATTCCGTGATGGTGTAAGTAGACAAAGTATTCAGCGTAATAAAGGTTTTTGTATTTCCCAATGAATGAAAAACAAAACGATATCCATAACGATATGGAGACAGGTCACTGTAATTCAAGACTACAAGGAATAGCTTCGCTACAGGTCAGATCAGAGTAAAGTCGGACACACTACGTGGCATCACTGAAGAAACCTGCATGGAAGAACATTGGAACTCTCTGAAAATGATATTTAAGGAAACGTATACAACTGTTCTGGGAAGAAGGAACAGACAAGACAACTAATGTCTGTCAATGGATACCTGAAAGCTATTATAAGAGAGGAGAGAAGGATAGTGAAAGAGAAAATGACTCAGTACAAAGATAGGCAACATAAGGAGAAGTTGAGTTCAATGTGCACTGCACTGACTAAAGAAGTGAAGAAGATTGCTAGAAAAGACAAACAACAGTTCTACGACACACTGGCCGGCTACTGAAGCAGAACAGTCCTCAGGCAAAACAGATAACAGGACACTATATCAGATAACCAAGTTTCTATCCGGAAAGAGATCAACCCAGATGATGAAACCAATAAAAGATGCTATAGGGAACCTGATCACCAAGGAGGAGAAACAAATAAAACAATGGGCTGATCACTTTAAGGAACACTTGAATCAACCACCACCGGAAACTCGCCCAGAAATACCACCAACAGCACGCACGGAAATGCCAGTGGACACCACTCCTACAACGAAAGAAGAAATCCTGAATGAGATCAAGTTACTGAAGTCCAGGAAGGCAGCAGGACCAGACGGCATTCCTCCCGAAGCACTGAAGACGGTCCCAGAGATTACGGTAGATGTTCTCACTCCATTACTACAAAAATTTTGGAAAGAAGGATAGGTGC